GAGCCTTTGGACAACTGCACAGAACAGATTCCAATTCTCTGAGTATTAACCTGGGCTATTGGCCAAGGATGTGGCAGCACCTGAACACTTCTGAGGGACAGGCAATGAACCCATCCCATTGCTGAAGGTCCTTCCATCTCTGCAGCCCTTCCTGCTGGAAATCCCTCATCCTTTTGAGCAGCAGGAAGCTCATATGGCAGGGAATGCACACAGGCTTAAGGTGGGAAAATCATGGCTATAGGGGATCCAGGTGTAATAAATACTTCAGCACTGACTTGCAAGCATAGGATGGGTGTCTGTTCCTCTGTGAAGATGCTCTTTCAGGTAAAGGCAACCCTGAACTTCCAATATATCATAGAATCATAGAACTGTAGAATCGTGGAGCCATAGAATCACAGAATCACAGAATTATTTAGGTTGGAAGGGACCTTAAAGATCATGTAGTTTCAGCCCCCTGCCATGGGCAGGGACAACTTCCACCAGACCAGGTTGATCAGAGCCCAGTCCAACCTCTCCTTGGATACTTCCAGCATTACATCACATTCACAGCTTCTCTGGGCAATCTGTGCCAGTGCCTCACCAAGCTCACAGTAAAGAATTTCTTCCAGATATCTGATCTAACCTCACCCTCTTTTACTTTAAAGCCATTCTCCATTTGTTCTATCAAAACATGCCCTTACAAAAAGCCCTTTAAAAAGCCCCCTATGAAAACTAACATGGAACCATATGAAAGTAATGTCATGAGCGGAAATCCCTGGAAATGACCATGCTGGAGGGATGAGGAGATGCTGTAGGACCCTTGGTGAGCCTGGGCTGGATTGTGCTTGGGGCTGTGCACTACTCTATAATTTGCTGCTGGTTTCCAAACATGCACAGTCTGCACATCTCTCTGCTGATGTGCTGAGGTCCCACACCAATTCCAGAACCTCTATTTCCATGCTGGTGTGCACCACCAGCAGACACAGGCAGGGCTGCAAAACAACCTACAATTTAAGCCCACTGGCCCAGTACCAGCAAAATTGAGGTGTGGATGTTGGTGGGGACGCACAACCTCCATGCCTACATGATGGTCTGTGGCTTACCCAGGCTTACATAGACTTTTTTTAGGATGTGCACAATGCCAGACTCAGTAAAGCCACCTGGTTGACACCAGAGCTCCTTTGCTATGTGCAGCATCAAGCATCACAGCCCCATGGGTGCCCAACCAGGTCTGCTGCTCAGGACATCCTCCAGAGAGTATCAGGATGTTTGGGGGACTGAGGTGTTTGTAAGGCTTTCCCCCTAAGAAAGGTCCTTGCAAGCCGTTTCAGTGGTAGAGGCTGAGGAGTAGGATGCTCATTCTCTGTGTATTATTTGGTGACACATTTTGTCCCATAGGATGATCCCAGAAGCTGAAGAGTCGGGGAAGATTCCACCAGGCCACAATAAAAGGGCTGTTTCCAGATGTCTGCTCCGGGCTCTTAAGGGTGGGCTGCAGAAGCACACAGCTCCTTCATGCTGCAAAGACTTTGAGCACAGGCAGCTGGTGGAGGGAAGCTGAGATAGAAGCAAGATCCCAGTGCCAAAGCTTTGGGTCTGTGTGTTACAGCAGCAAGAGTGGAGATTCCCATGGGCAGGGCCAGGCTTCTCAAATGCTCCCCATGTGCATTGTGCAGGTTTGTTTTCTGAGGGAAAGCTATCCAAAATCCACTTCCTACTTCTACTTTGCCCATAAACTCTCCCCATTTCTGTTTTTTTTCAGCAATCTACAGAGCTCTTCTCCAAGTCAGGTGAGGCTCAAAAAAACCCCAAGTTCCCTGCACTGTGGTGAGTCTGGGGCATAGGATGCAAAGGTTTATAGTCAGAGGAAGTCACCCATTCCCACCATGGATCTTCTCAGCAAATTTGAGTGTAACCTTGTGTGAAAGACTCATATAGATCACCTTGCCTCAGTCTCAAAGTCCACAGAGAAAATAATTTGAATGGAGTTTGGTGAATCGAGCAAATTCAAAAGGCTCTGCAGAGCCACCTTGCGCCCATCAAAAGCATCCTGGAAGAACACAGCAGTTCAAAAGCAAAGAGTCTGAATAAAATATACACAATTTATTTATTTATAGGAGGTTTACAGCTGTACAATGTTGGCTTTCTGTTTGGACCACTCTCTGATCTTGTGCAGCACGATACATCAGTGCCTTTGGAGATGAAGACAAGTCACAGCCTGTTTTAACAGGCAGATGTCAAAAAGAAATGGATTCCACAGAGTGTAATGCCAGGCTGCTTGCAACCATTGAAATGATTAACAAAAGAAATGTGAAATAATCAGACATGTGTCCTACCCCGCTCATGAGGGACTGGAAAGTGCTTTTCAGACCTGCCCTCCTCTCAAAAAAAAGAAAAAAACCAAACCCAAAACCCCCTGAATATTTGTTTACTTCATTCAAAGAGAAAAGGCATCAACAATAGGAATGGCATTTCAATAATTCCCCTCCTTCATCTGCTTTACAAATAAGACAAAAAGAAGAGTAAGAAAGGTAATTTTTGTTCTTCCATTGGAAATGTAGGGGAAGAAGGCTTCTGCTCTAACTTTTCCAAAACCTTTTTTTTCTTTTTTAAAAAAAGGACAAATATTACTGATATTAAGACAATTTGGTCTCGATATAGAGTGATTTTTTTTTTTTTTTTGAGAAGCTATTAAAAAGCTCCCTTTCCTCTCTTTATGGCTTGATTCTCTGTAGGGAGGAAGTAGATTGCCCATGGGTACCGTGGCACCACAACTCCTTGGTGAGCTTTGGCACTGCTCCTTGGGGATCACAGTGCCATTTGGCACATGGCAGGGCACTCCTGGACAAATGGCTCTCCTTTGCTGAAGCTACCCATAGCCTGATTTCCCGAGAAAACAAGGCTAATGCAGGTAGGCTGGACACCTCCATCTGCTGATGATGGTGCAAAGCTCCTGTCATGTTCCTGCAATGCCAAACAGCTCATGCCCCTGCCAGGTGAGGTATCTTTGGGCATCCCTCTCACATATCACTCTGAACACAAGCCTGTGAGAAGATCTTCTCCTAAGACCCAAATCATACCTTCTAGCCCCACAATCCTGCTTCCAGTTATTTTCAGTGATGAATCTCATAAACAAAACCAAGATAAAGTCAAAATATCTCTGAATTGGTCTTCCTAAAGTCAAGGATTTGCTGTGAATGTGGGATCAAAAAGTTGCTTTACCTAACTAGGAGCATTTAAGTAAATGCTGCAAGACACTGAACCAAACTTGGTCCCAGTGGTGGCACCTGGAGTTGGAGAGTGCTCAGTGCAAACCAGGAGTAATTGAGATCTGGAAAGAGCATCATGGGGACCGCTGCTTGCCTTTAAGTCCTGAAAAACAAGACCTAAGAACATCAGGAAATTTGGTAAAAAAGCAAACTCTTAACTGCAGGACTGTGAAGAGGAGGAAAGGGGAAGAGCAGCCCACAAAAATCAGTGCAGCTGCACCATCTACTTCTGGTTGCACCAAGAACTGAGCTAGCAGGTACTTTGGAGAACACTTCACCAAAGTAAAGACTTAGCAGACTTTTAGGGACTTTAAAAAAACCCCAAACTTGCAGGACAAACATGACTATTTAGTAGGACAAGCAGAAACCCTTTGCTATAGCAAAAGAAGGCTTTCCTGCTCACTTTTGTTCCAGGAAAAGGACTCTGCCCAGGTCAAAATTTAGGAAGATTCAAAGATTTTATCATATGTATTAATTTCCACTTGCATGCAGGTGACTGCAAAATATTTGCTTAGAAAATCTGACTGAAAAATCCCTTGCACCACTTTAAAGGCACATGAATAAAACCCCCAAACAACAGGAGAAAAAAAATGGTTTGAAACTTGTCCTAGTCAGCTGCTGAAAGGTCAGACAACTGGTTGTTGTTTGCTTTATCTGGGATGGTTTATAAGAAGCCAGATTCTGCCACCCAGTGGAACAAGGAAGATTAACCCAGTTCTCATGGAAATCAGGAGCAGACTGTAGCCCCAGACACAAGGATGCATTGGGGTTGTGCTCGTGTGATTGGCTCTAGGACTGTACAACTCATCCTCCCCAACAGGAGACTGGAAATTAAAGGTGAGAGATGGACACTGGTATGAATTAAATATTCCCAGCATTTTCAGGATGCACTGGGAGCAGTGCTCCTCCAGTACAAGCTAAAATCCCACTATTTTTAAAAAGAATTTGAAAAAGCGAGGCACTGAGAAATGATGCACTGTAGGCAGCAGTACAGATGGAGCTCATGGAGCAAAGCTCCCCATCCCTTGAACTTGACACTGGCCTTCAGAGAAACGAATTTTCTCTTGCCTAAACACTGAACTGCCCCAGCAGACAACCCACCCCAGCTCCTGGGGTGAGCTCTTGGGATGGAGACGGCATGGAGACACAGAGACAGCAGGCACCATGGGAGTTCAGGAGGCACCCACAGGAGCTGGGTCCAGACTGATTCAGAACCTTGACCCAGCGAACAATTATCCCACCACAGCTGTTGACATCTTTCTATACTTCAGAGTTGTGTGGGGCTGAACAAGACTTGGGTGGAGACAGCTTGTCCCCAAAATGATGGAGCCTTTGGTCTTGCTGCCCTGTGGATTTGGGCTGCCTTGGTGCGTTTTCCTTGCAGTTGCAGTACGCAAACCCATACCCAAAAATCATCCAACAGGCCCCATCTGTTTGTCCACTTCTCCTCTGGTGTGGTGCCTCCACAGATAAGCGATTACATGGCAATTTCAAGGGAGACAACTCCATGCACACTACTCTTAACCCAAGCAGACACGCTGAAGATGCACTGAAGCAGCTGGTGGGACCGCGGTGGCCACACGTGTGCGTGGTGGCACGTGTGTGTGCCAGCCTGTGTAAACAAACAGCCCCAGGGCATTGTGCTCTGGCTGTCAGGACACACAGCGTGCTCACAGCGGTCCCACAGCGCACGTGGCAGCCAGGGGGGCTGCAGAGGACGCCAGCAGAAGGGTCATTGCGGTTCCCCAAAAAAAGGCACCATTTTTTTAACATTGAAAACACAAGATTGGCTCCTTGGAGTGGAATGCATGCATGGTTCATATACACTTTGCAGATGGTAGGTAGGCTCTGTGTTTCTCTCTCTCTATATATATATGTATATGTGCATGTTTATATTCACATAAGTGGCACCAGAAGAGTCACCCTTGAGTACTCAGACATTAGTGAGGATGTTACTGCTAAGCAGCATCACAGCAATGGTTCCAGGGAGATCGTTTGACCTCCTGTTGCCCTTGTCCTGGAGGTGCAGCGTGTGCACCGACTGCCGGTCGCTGGGATCCCCCGTGAGCACCACTTGGCCCAAAAACTCGTCGCTTATCAAGTTGTGGTTCCAGATCTGTGGAAACAAAACAGGGATGAGGGCAGCTCCTTCAGGGATGCAGCCAACCTCCATGAACTGGAGAGAAGGGGTTACTGGGGACATGCCCTGAGCTGAAGCCAGGGAGGTGGTGAGGTGTGGGGGTGTCACTCTGGTAGAGAGAGGGGTGAAGGACATGCCTTTACCAGATGTCACCGTGGTGGTGAGAGGCTGAGCTACATTAACTAATGATGCTCAGCCTGGGGAACAGATCTGCCATGGACAGTGTGAGGAGAGGGCAGGGGGCCCAAGTGAGAGAGGGTCTCCATCCCTCAGCCCACTGCCTCCCTGCCAGGTACCTGAACAATGATGGGTTGTCCTGGCTTCTTGCGGTAGAAGAGCCCTTTCACATCGAATTCTGGTGATACTGTGTTCTTCTTCACTGGAGAACGAACCTTCTGTCCTTCACACTTGATGATCACATAAGGATCAGCTCCTGAGGACAGAAAAGAGAATTTTTTTCTTTGTTGTAGGTTGTGTAATTCCTTTTTTAAAAGGAGTTCTTTTCCAGGGGTGTCATGCAGTACTTTGCCTCCATATGGATGTCTGCCAAAGGGTTTGTCACACCCCAGATGATGTCCATGGAGCTCAGCTGTTTGGCTCAGGTTTAATTCTATTAGGTGACATTGTTTCTGGGGAGCAGGTGCTGGTGGCATGCTATGAAGCTGGGGAAGGGTTTGGATGGAGCACAAGTCTGATAAGAAGCAGCTGAAGGAGCTGGGGGGGCTCAGTCTGGAGAAAAGGAGGCTTGGGAGGACCTTATTGCTCTCTACAACTGCCTGAATGGAGGATGTAATGAGGTTGGTCTCTTCTCCCAGGAAACAAGCAACAGGACGAGAAGAAAGGGGCCTCAAATTGCACCATGGGAGGTTTAGACTGGATATTAGGAAAAACTAATTCATCAAAAGGGTTATCAAGCACTGGAATAGGCTGCCCAGAGCAGTGGTACAGTCACCATCTGTGGAGGAAAATAAAAGATGTGTACATGTGGCACTTGGGAACAGGATTTAGTGGTGGACTTGGCAGTGCTGAGTTAAAAGTTGGACTCCATGATCGTAGAAAGCTTTTCCAACTGAAACAATTCTATGATTCTATGAAAGGGCTGCCTTTCTTGTCTCCATATTCTACAGGAAGACTCCTTCATCACCCCAAACTCTTTTGACCACAGCACTAAATGCTTCATGGAAGACATCATCCTACTGAAATCTCCTTTCAGAATTTACTCTCCTAGAGGCAGGTAAAAATAAAACCATGGAGAAGGGAAAGAGGCTCACACAAGGAAATACCAGATGGAGGATAAAGTTGGAGGACCAAGTTCACATATTACCAGCCCACAGCTGGAGGGGACCTGAGCTTCCAGGCGAAGGAAAGAGTCTCTCATTAGTGAATACTTTCACCTTGCCAAACAAGTGCTTCTTTTGGGAATTTCAGTAGAGAAAGAGCTATTGCTATGGAAATCTAACTGCCAGAATGCATGTTCTTACCATGAACTTTAGTGGCTATGATGGAAACACAGACCAGTTGGATGAGCTTTCTTGTCCAAGGGAAATGTGGAAATGAGGAGGAACAAACAAACCCCTTCTGAGGGCCAGGGATTTTGATTGCCAGACCACCTCTTTGCTAACTTCCTGTTTGCAAGGACCTGGCTCCCCTGGTGAGAGACAGCTGCTGATTTCACAGCTGTTTTTCCAAATTACCTTGTCTTTTGGGATGTCCCATTAAATACTCAGATTCCATCAGCCAGAGCCAAATTCCTATCTGTAAATCACTATTTCCAAAGTAGTGTATAAGGCCTGGCCTGTGACACGTGAGAGATGCCACTGCACTGGAAAACACCAAACACACTGTTGGTGGTGGGAGCTGAACAGCTGGAAAACAGCTGGAAGAAAGCAATTCCCAAGGGGGTTTTGTGGAAAAGATGTTTTATGACTCCAGAATCCACACGTCTTCTTGTCTGAAGGAAAGATAAACCTCCTTGTTTCTGTGAACACTTCAGAGACCTTTGGCTACAGATTTCCCTGCACTGCTATGGGTGACCTGTTGTGAATAACACAAAACCCACCCACCTGCCTAGGGTTAAATTCCCTCCCGAAACACCAGATAGGGTATAAGGTATATTTGTGGCATGTGATAAATAAGCATACTTGACTAGTCCTTGCTTAAAAAAGATCCTCCTCATTACTTTCAGGGATATAGTGATAGGCAACCCTGATAATAATTACTGGGCGAAAAAAAGTATCATTTTAATTGGATTTTATTTAGAGTTTTTAATTTTTCAATTTTTATATTTTAAATTCAGCTTGAAAGTGTTTGACTAAATCAAACACAATTTGACTAAATCTTGCCACAATTACCACATATCCTTGACTCAGGAAATGGGGGAGAAAGGCTAGGATCTGATCTATTTCCATGGTGGAAAGGTATTTGCTTCTGTAATCGTAGCCTCTAGACCTTTTATCCCCTAGCAATCTCCTAGTACAAGCCATCACTGCCACTGGGTTTCCTGGTCCAGAGGCAGACAGAACATGGGGCTCTTGCCATGAGCCTCTGTTTGGCTGCAGGGCACGGGGAGGTATGGTCCTGCTGCCATCTTCCATGCAGGAAAAGTGATGGATGTCGGAATTGATCTAGATCCACACTATCCCAAAGTGAGCTAAATTTGGCATACCCTCTGCTGTTAAGACTTTTATCCAGGTTCCAGTGATGAATACCACACATCAGGCTCGTTCTCTGTCCTTCTAACTAAGAAGCCTTTAAATACAATTCCTGACTTTTACAGCTGTTCATACCTGGGAGAAAAGCTTGGGTTGTTACAGGACCTCTGCTAAGGGATCTGGGGAAGTTTTGGGAGGGTCTCAGGTAACAGTCTAAATATAACAGCTCCCAGATCATGTCCACTGCAAGAAGTGAGTTTAGCTCTCCATGGACTTTCTCCTCCTCTGGTGTCTGAATCAAGCACGTTCACAGAAAAAAAAAATCTGAGGATATAAAATCCAGCAATGTCCCGCTTCATAAACCACTTCTCAACTCCTCCGGGGCCAGACAACAGGCAGGGAAAGACCAGTACCTCCTTGGGAGTCCTGATTCTTGAGCCCAGCTGCAGCAAGGACATGGATCTGGGATACTACTTGTGGGTAGCCACAAATCCCACTCCAGCAGGTGTGTGGTGGCTCATCCAGTGTCAGCTCTCTGCAAGGAAAAACACACAGCTTTTGAGAGGTGCCCAGTCTTATCCCAAAGAATTTGGTCTGGCATGATGAAGGACTGTACAGGCCATTCATTTAAGTGAATGAACTCAATGAACTTTGACTGATCCTTGTGGGTCTCTTTCAACTCGGAATATTCTGTGATTTTGTGACTATGCACTGTCCACTGTCAGACTCTGTTCCCCACTCCAGTCTCCTCAACCTGCGTTTGGGATGCCCTCCCATGTCATGCTTAGAAGCAGAGTGGGAACTTCTCTGCATGTCTGTGGAGATACCTGTAAGGATGTCCTGTCTCTTGACCACCCTTAACAGAAAGCCAAAGAGCAGCTGCAGGCAAGGCTACGACCATTCAGGAAAACCACAAATCAAAAGCACAGGTCTCTCTCCAAAGAGCCAACTCCTCCCCATCCCTGCTCCTGCTCCTTACCGGCAATCTGAAGGCACGTCTGTGAAAATCCTGAGAAGGAACTCGCCTTCATGACCAGGGTCAAAAGTGGTGGGGATGATGACGTAGCGGCCTTCCTTCAGGTCTGTCCTCAGGAAGACGCTGCGGGAGTTGATGTAGATGGAGCTGGCCACCTTCTGCTGCAGTGTGTGCATCCGGTAGTTCCTATTCAACTCCACCTGGGCAGAGACCACAGTGGATTGTCACTGGCTGAAAAGGTACTGGGATCCACCATGGGGGAGGAAAGATTGCAAGGACTGAGTCCACAGTGCCAGGAGATGTGGAGATAGGAGAACCAGGAAAAAGGGTCCCAACTGTGCTGGGTGGAAAACAAGTGTGGACGTGGCTCGCTCAATTCTTTTGACTCAGGGACTCATCTCTTGCATCCCAGCTTAACACTGTGGACCCAGCAAACAACACATAATGATTAGTCTAACAGATTTCACCATTTGGAGAGAAAAGACTAATTGTTGCTGTTAGCAAGAACTGCACAGAATCACAGAATGGTTCTGGTTGGAAGGGACCTTCAAGATCGTCTGGTTTCAATCCCCTGTCATGGGCAGGGACACCTCCCACTAGAACAGGTTACTCAAAGCCACATCCAGCCTGGCCTCAAACATTTCCAAGGATGGGGCATCCAAGCTTTTCTGGGCAACCTGTTGCCCATGCTGTCCCCTTTGATATCCCTCTTCCTCTCTAGAGGAGGGCAGGCTGTGCTGATGGCACCCCACAAGCACGCTGATAATGCTTAAATGAACCATCTGGTCATGCAGGACTGGTGCACCACTCCACAACCAGCAAATTTACAGTGGCATTCAGGCCAACATGCAGGAACCCCAGCCTACCTTATGGATATCAAAGCCTATGGCCAAGTTCTCTCCTTTGCCCTCTTTGCGACTGGTCCTTTTGGGCTTCTGCTGTATGGAGATCAGCACTTCATCTTCCGCCTTCTTCACATCAAACACATACTAGAAGCAAAGACTGTCATGGGCAGGGACAACTTATTAAAGGTAAGGAAAATACTTATTAATATAGGATCCCTGGACATGGGTGGGGGTGGATTTAACAGATCTAACATCAGCTTCTCCCAGTCCACCTCCATGCAGGGACAGCCTGGCTTCAAATGGCTGATACAGAGCTGGAAGCTGGAAACAACTCTCCCACATCCTTGATGACTTCTGCAACAGAACTGACCATCCTTCAACTGCTTGTTAGATGAAAGACTCAAAAGGACCTGGCTCATGATCGTGAGAATCCCAGTTCAGAGAGGACAAGACAATTGTAGAATCATTCATGCTGGAAAAGACCTCTAAGATCACCCAGTCCAACCCTTAACCTAGCACTGCCAAGTCCACCACTAAACCATGTCACCAAGTGCCAAATCCACACGCCTTTTGAATGCTTCCAGAAATGGTGACTAAACCACTGCTCTGGGCAGCCTCTCCTAATGTCTTCACCCTTCCTTAAGAAAGAAGTTTTCCCTAATATTCCATCTAAACCTCCCTGGCACAACTTGAGGCTGTTTTCTCTTGTCCTACCACTTGTTACCTGGGAGAAGAGACCAAATCCCATCTGGATATGATCTCCTTTCAGGTAGCTGTAGAGAGCCATAAGGTCCCCTTGAGCCTGCTTCTCTCCAGAAAAGTTTGTTCCAGGAGATGAACTTCAAGATAGAAGGAAATGGCTCTACGGGCTACACCTGTCCTGGTAAATTTAACAGCATCAAAGTTTCGGTCCAAAAACTGGAGTTTGGTCATTCAGACATCCAGATTGCTGGAAATGACTCCTGACCCTGTTTGACTGGAGCCGGCCAACCCTGTGGTACAGTTTGTTTTTGCCTTGTGCCAAGATGCTCTACACTAAGCACTTGGATGCAGTCTCCTTGAAAGAGGGATAATGTTAATAGAGTTGTCCTCGATGCTGGGCGTGCTGTGCCAGAGAATTGCCATAAGCACAAAAAATATATTAGAGGCCTGGTAGTGTTTCAGCCTTCTAGGTCCCTGTAGGAGAGTTAAACACTTGGAAGCACACGTGAAGGCTCCACAGGCCCTCTGCCCCATTACTCACCTGGGGGTTCTGCAGAAAAGTGTCCTTGTGGTTGATACAGCCTCCGGAGCGGTTTTTCAAGGGGTCACTGCTTCTGGTCCATGCCCCGTGTAGCACTGCCTCCTCCCAGGTCTTGTGGATGCTCAGGTAGGAGGTGTTGATCAGACGGCACTTGATGATGTCCGTGAAGTATTTGCAGAAATCTTCAAAGGTCATCCTGAGTCAGGAAAGGGCAGAACTGGGTTATGCTGCTTCATTCCCTGGAAAGGTACACTGCAGGGATTTTCTTGATCACCTGTTAGAGAGTGTGGGTTGTCTCTGATGGCTGATGAGTAACAAAAGTTATTCATCAAATATTTCCAAAAGAGATAGAGATACCTTTCTCTATGCCTGCAGTAAATACTTCTTGAGTTCAAACAACAGATCCCTGTGTTTCGGAGTGGGAGAAGTAGCACAGTGGCCCTTTCACCACACAAGAGTAAATGTTGTACTGAAATATTCCTGTGTGAAGTCAGCACATTTATGACAGGTTCTCCGTACCCTGGTGAAATGGTTTGGCCCAGAGTGGTGCCTTGAAAGAGGACTTTGCAATTCCAGGGCCATGGCATCAAAAGCTAACATCCATGAGCTCAAGGAGGGAGCTTCATTAGAGATCCTATGGCTTGAAAGCCTGTTTTCTCTGGATAGCTGTATGCATAGAAAAGATGTACATGCTCCATGGGGTGGGAGGATGCTGTGGGCATGGCCTGTAGCGACAAACCCAGAAGGGACTCACCAGAACTCTCCATCATCTTCCACTGTCATTCCCATCTTCTCTCTCTCACTTTTACTCACTTTCTGCCACTCCTCAGAGCTGTGGGAAGACACCAGGATCATTACTCAGAGGTAAGGGACACACAGGAATTTGAGGCACAAGGCCTGTATGAAGGCAGTCCCCATGCTGCTCTGGTTAGGCCATCTGCCAAACACAGGGGAAGTGCAGCATGGCTTGGAACTTCAACTTCCTTCCTGACCAGTGGAGTTGAATCCAGTCTGGCAGGGTTTTATTTGGCCTTACAATCACAGCCCTATCCATAAAGATAACAAATTTGACTCTGGCCAAAGGCTCTGGTTGCACCAGCCTGTGGTTCCTCATCTCATCCCCAGCCATCACAGCAGTCAGTGGTGGCAGAGGCTGATTCTGTTGGGTGCTCATTTTGCTGGAATAAGACTGGGAGCACAAAGGTGACCTATGAACATCCTTCACTAGTATGAATGAACATGGAATCACAGAATCACAGAACGGTTTCAATTGGAAAGGACCTTAAATATGATCTCATTCTAATCCCCCTGCTATGAGTACGGGAATGTAGCACCAGATCAGGTCTCTCTCAAAGCCCCATCCAAATTCTCCTTGAGCACTTCTGGGGATAGGACATCTGCAGCTTCTCTGAGGAGCTGTGCCAGTCCCTCACCACCCTCACAGGGCAGAATTTCCCACTGAAACAAGCTGTCCATCCCAACTCACGTGTCACTCCAAGGGCCGTTCCACTCCCGCTCGCCCCACGGGTTGCGCATGCGGATCATGTCCAGCTTCTCCGACTTGAAGAAGGACAGAAGGCCGTGGCCCAGACGGACCTTCCGCACGTCCGTCACCGCGTATGCGTGGCCCTTCACCAGCCCGCAGGCCAGGCGAGCCTCCATGTCAGCTGCTGATGTGGCCTGGCAGGGGGACACAGACAGCGCTCAGACCAGGGAGACATGACCACCTCTGCGGGGGCTGGGAAAGAAAGCAACTCAGATTTCCCTGCAGGTTTCTTTAAGCCAAAAAGAAGAGCATCAGTAGTCAGGGAGAAAGCCAGGTGGCATGTCTCAGATCCCATTTTCTATGCTGCATTCCCTCTTCATTTGCTTCATGAGGTCTCTGAGCTCTCATACTGGCAACTGATAAAGCTCATATATTGGTTATACTGGGAGGTCTGGAAACCAGCATTTGTAAAATGCCCAGATGCAGACAACAAAATGCCTTTCTCTGGAGTGGATCCCCTCCTAGCCTTTAAAAAGTGCTAGGATCAAACTGGGCTCTCGGACATAGCAACAAGGAATAAAGAGTTTCGACATTCAGGATTCACTCCTTTTGCCACATCTAGTGCCACCATGATATTTTATGAAAATCCCTTTGCTAGGATTTTCTCCTGAGGAGCTGAGAAGCCTCAGAAAAGAAACGTGAACAATTAGCTATCTGATGGCTGTGGAATGTGGTTTGTGGAATTGTTTACCAACAGGCGCATCTTTGATTGGGCCATGTGAGTTGTTTCTACTTAATAATCAATCAAAGATCCAGCTGTGTCAGACTCTCTGAGAGTCACGAGCTTTTGTTATCATTCCATTCCATTCCTTTCTAGCTTTCTGATGGATCCTTTTTCTCTACTCTTTGTAGTATAGTTTTAGTATAGCATTTTAATATAATATAATATCATAATATAATAAATCAGCCTTCTGAAACATGGAGTCAAGATTCTCATCTCTTCCCTCATCCTGGGACCCTCGAACACAACCACAATCCAGAAGTCGGAACCCTTGGCCACAATTTATCTGATCTATTTTAGAAGTTTATGACTGCGTAAGACAACTGCATCCTAAAACGCCATTCCCATGGCACCATGACCATACTGGTAATGTTTCTTACTTTGATGGAGCAGCTGATGAGGCCTCCCCTGTTGTGCACCTTCAGCACGCGCTCAAAGAGGAGGTTTCGCTTGGCTTCATCAGCGATGTAGTCCCCTTCGGTCAGGTCGATCGGTTCCGAGACCCCACCAGTGAAATCCACCAGGGCATCAGCTGTGTTGCCTCCATCCAGGGCCTCATAACAGCCTGACAACCTGAAAGAGGGTGGCAGGTATGGCACAACAGTGGCCTGGCATTTTAACAGGTGGGGGATGATTTTTGGGGCAACCTCAAGAATGGAGATTTGCAGTTGAACTTCAAGTGGGAGAGGACAGGAAACTAGGGTGAAAAGATAGGACCCACATTCCTTGCTGCACTCTTGCTGTCATAATGTAAAAGGAACTTGAAATCTCTAGAATATGTGTTACTTAAAGAATATGTGTTACTTAAAGAAACATTGAAGGGTGTTTTGCTTTGAGGGTAAATTAGGGCTGGAGAATGGGTTTTTTCCTTAATGTTTGTCTGTTTGAGTCATGTACTACTTCTCCACAGGAAAGATGTTGTTTCCACTGCTGCAAACCAGCTGGTGAATGAACAGAGAGGAAAAACAGAGTGCCCAGGTCCCAGTTTATCCTACAACTGCCTGGGTACCTACTTGGCATAAGCTTTCTCCACCAAGGCACACCAGAACTCATTCCTGGAGTTGGAGTGGCAGTAGATGAGCTGATTGTGGAGGGTGGGCAGGCGGTCATCGATCACCACATCCAGCCACTGACCGAAACGCCAGAACTGGAAGTGGAAGATCCCCACGTAGCTCTCGGGTTTCTCAGGGTTCCACTCCTGCTCCTTCCAGTCTGGGATGACCTGCAAAAGAAGAGGCACATATACCCAAATTATTCTTTTTTTTCCTGGGATTGACTCTCATCCTGGAACTAATGCAGACAATATCAAAGACAAGGAAGAATATGAAGGGGATGGACTTGCTTACAGTCTTCTGGGGCCAGATTTTAGACCTGGTTCTGCCAATATAGACTAGATTAACATGTACTGGAACAGCTTAGACTTCACTGTCCCTTGGAAGGTGGAGTTAAAGACTTTTGTCCTCTATCTTCTAACCCTACCCTGGACATCTGCTGCCATCTACTTCTGTAGACAGGCTATTGGAGCAGTTGAGTTCTTTGTTGAACCAGGTATGGTTATTTTTATGACCATGTCTTTTGTTTTTTTTTAGTGTCAATAGGGTACTAACAAAGGGCACCTTCTTTGAGTCTCCCGCTTGATTCTGGTGTGACTTGACTGGCCCAAGAGCAAGTGTGGTATTCATCTACCTGGTGGAAATGCACAGGCAGCAGATACTCTGCATGAGCCTACTCTGCTAAGTAAAAGTGGGAAAAAACAAGATCCCTATTCTCTCAAGGTCTCCATTCTTCCCTGTCAAGAACTGCTACACTCACCCAGGCAAGCACAGGGAGATGATTTGATGAAAGGTGGAAAAGAAGGCCTGAGTTGAAAGAAGCCCTAGAGCAGCTGAGGGGTCAGAGGAGGCACAGGTTTGGTGTCACTGCCAGCAGGACAGGCACAAGCAAAGGGGAACTGCCAAAGTCCACAGCCTGTCATAGCTGCAGGCAGCACCAGCTCTGCTTCAGATGGAAAATTCACCCAACAGCTGGGACAGAAAAGGGCAGAGCCAGGCACAGATGCTACATGTAGGGGGATCTGCATCTTGTTTGGAACCAGGATGCAGAGGCACACAGTAAGGAACTACCACACTGCAGTTTAGCTTTTGCTGGGGATGGAGGCAATGTGGTTTTACTGCCTGGTCAGGGTGGGCGTGAGGCCACGTGTGGTTACTGCAACTGATGGCTGACAAGGACTGACTTACACAGCAGCAGCAATGTGACTGACTGCCCACACCCCTGCTACTCCACTCACCTGCTCCCAAAGGATCATGAGCTCAGTGATAAAAACCCCAAGGTGTGCATGCAAGCATGCATTATGTTATGTTATTATGTTCCAATACACCAAATAATACTTTCCTGTGTAGAGCTGAGCATGTTGGGGTGGGATAGGAGAGGACACAGCTACATTGCATGGAAAGAGCCTCTTCAAGAAGTGACATGGTGAAACACACCTAACCACCTTTACTGTGCACCCTTGTCCACTGACAGAGCTGCTTTTCTTCTTTTTATTTTTTTTGGTCTGCTGTCACAGAGCAGGAATTGTACAGAGAGAATTCCCTCTGAAGAGCTCCCCCACTCCTTAGCTACTAGCAATGATCCAGCCCAGGGCTCTTATTGCTCCTACACTGAAATATTAATGATGCCATCAGCCCTGCTAGCTCACAGGCACTCTGGAGTCATCTGGATCAATACAGGCAGAGCAGACAAAGCCATGAAAAAGAGCCACATTTGGAGGCTTTGGTGTTTTATAGGAGTGCTAACAACTGTGTCCCAGAGTCCTCTCTGGAGACTGCCAGGAGAGGTCAGCCAGCCCTCCATCAGTGCCCATTGATTCCCTCCTGACTGGAGCTCATCCTAATGAATTGTCATAGAGGGCCATTGTGGTAATCAACTCGCTATTAATGTGGGCTTAGAGATGATCCCAGCATTGATTAGAGGCAGCTTGTCTGCCAGAGCTGGTAGTGACAGCTTCCAGCTGGCTGGGTTTGAGACTTGCTCCTGCTGTCACTGGTGGCAGGACACACAGGTCCCCACCATCCTCCTCATTTCCCCACTTGGAGACAGCTCTGGGAGCAGCTTCCACCACTGAAGGCAGCAAAAATGGTCAGCTTTCATCCAGAGCAGGCTCAGGAGCAAGGACTGGCTGTTCTCTACACTGACCCAGGAGAAAATGAGAGGAGTCTGATCTCCACAGGTGTTCCCTGCTGGAGAGTATGCCACGGACCACCCATCCCAGGATCCCACAAGACCTGCACTCAGCTTGGCTGTGTGACACTGGGGTACTGGGGAAACCACATTCTCCTCCTTCACCCAGCTGTGCTGCTTCTTCCTGAGGGGTTCACAAAATCTGGACCTGCAACACCATATAGTGTGACAAATTTACAGTGAAAGGCTTCAGAGACAGGTAAATTGGGAGCTCAGAAATGCCAGGCTGACCTCCCTAAGCTGATTTAGGGCTTTTTACAATTTTCTTAAGAGTGGCTAATTAAGAGAAAATGTACCTGTGACCCTGGAAAAAAAAAACTCCCTGATTAGAAGGAGAAATTGGTACATGTCAAGTTGTCCAAGCCTTCTGCTGAGAACTTGCCAGTTCAGAATAAGGAGAGAGGCACCCAGCTGTTCCAATTTGCTGAGTGGTACAGACTGGGATGAAATTCCCCTGGGAGATGGGACAGGGTGATGTATCTGAAAGTCTTTATGGGACGCTGAAACTGTGTAGGGATAGTTTCAGTGACTGGTAAAAAGAGGCTCATCTTCCCTGCAGCAGAGAGAGATCACACTGGTCCCCTCACCTCCCTCCCCAGTTCTGAAGGAAACAAGGATCCACCTGAGAATCATTTCCCCTTCTATGCCCAGCTTCAACCCCCTCTTGACCACAAAACCCTACTCAATATTCCATGAAGTCTTTCACACCAAGAGAGAAGAAAGCAAATGTTCATCTCATATTTTACAGGAAGTTAAAAAGGGCTCAAGAATACCAAATTGAAATTTGGTGCTTTATTGCATGCAGGATTAGGGCAGCTTCCAAAGGGAGCATGAAGAAGACACAAACAGCCTCAGTCCTTAAGGGGAACCCATTGTTTAGGCTTTTATTTACTATTTACTTTTATTTACTGCTTTTTATTTACTGTGGTACACCAACACCCAGCGAGATATCTGCAGCAAGAACTCTACCCTAGCAACGCAGCAATGGCATATTGTGAGACTTGGCATGCAATAACCCCTTTGGATGTTGCCAGTGGCTCCTGTTATTTGGTCTAAAGTGGTTTGTAGTCAGGAACTCTGCTCTAGGATGTACAAGGAGGGGTTTTCTATGGCAGTCTGCTAGGACCCTAGAGGTGTGTTTGGCCAAGCAGGGATGCATCCACTTTTCTTTCTACTCACCGAGTCCAGCATTTCTTGGGGTCTAAACAAAGATACCAACTTGTCTGGCAATGGCCATAGGAATGGCTGTAGGATTTGGTGGTTACTGGGCATTTGTTTTGGGGAAGACTCAGAGCTCCCACCATCTCTCCAGCCAGTAGCTGACCTGTTTTCTTTCTCCTCTCTGCCTGGCATAACTTGTCCATGTCATTTTATACACTGCTGTTGGGCTGGGGAAGGCATAGGGTCTGCATCTCTGGAGGTTTTGGAGATGTTGGACTCTTTTTGGGGCTGGTCTGCATAAGTTTGCAGGCCACAGGTACAAAGTCACCTTGCCCTGGCTTTCCCATCACTGCTCTCTCCTTACTCATCTTGGGAAGATGTCAGGCTGCCCCTTGAGGAGTACTCACACACACCTGAGTGCAATCTAAGCAGAGGACCAACTGTAATAATACTTAGCTCTTTCAAGGGACTTTTCTATCTGTGTGTCTCAGAAGCTTCATTGAAGTACTCTCCACTTTTTGGTGGAGGAAAAGGAAACATCCAAACGTAGTAGTTTACTTGCAGTCATAGGGCAAACTGGTCACAAAACACTCTGCTGTTCCAATACTTATAAATGTACCACTCCTCTCTGCTCCCGTGGTCACCCAGACACCCTTCCCTGTGTTTTAGAGGGCAGAAGACACTGCTTTTCAGGGACAGAAGCAGCAGGTTCCTGCTCTGTGGCTTGCAAAGTGCTCTGCAGCCTCATGGCTCTCTATAGACACTTCAGAGTAAATATTTTCATGGGTGCTTTAAGGACAGAACAAAGCACAAATTAGCTCTGCTGCAGAAGACTCACTGCTGGCCTAGGCTGCTCCGAGCTGCTGGCTCTGCCCCC